CAAATGTACATCAAAAACAAACATTGCATACCGTGCACTTATAACATTTTCATATGAGTTATTGGAACTCATGGTCGTAAAATTCCATACCGTATGAATTGGTCTAGTAAATATTATCTTTTTAAATATTTGCACCCGACATGACCGAATTTAAAAGTACCGAAATAGCAGCGTCCACGCCATTACAAAAATTAATTTGTGGACTTTCATACATCAATATAAGAAATGCTGTTTTTAGTCATTTTTACTATTGAATTATTTTCATTGTAGTAGTTTGCATTTGTATATTATTATGTTTTCGTATAAATCTACGATAATCGATATTTTTTTTCAAACTATTTTACACAATACTCCAGATAAGTGGTGGAAACTATTAAACATAAATTATGTACATGATAAACACAACAAAATATATATACCGACATAAATATTCCCTAACACAATCACACTTGAGTTGTTAAATGTTATAGCTTCATTTCCTCCTCATTTGAATTATAAACAAATATAAACACACGAATCTATCTATGGAAATTATTATTCATTGTTCAACGTGTGAGTGTCGATTGTAAGACATTAAACAATCATAATGATTATATACAATACGTGTGTTACCGGCGTTTAAATGTATCTGCTTGTACGTCTGCGACTTTGGGATGGGTAAATAAACTTAAATCTATTTGACGTATCCCATTCCACGGTTTCCGTGAAAACGGAACCGACAACGATGTATATTGTTTATTATTTATAACACGTTATCTAGAAACCAAAGCGCATTGTTCGCAAGAAGTTCGAACAAGACCGAAACCTGCCAATTTGTAGTGCCGAGGATCTTAAGTATTATGTTAAGATAATGTGTTGTTCCCGTCTTACAAACGTAAAACAAAGCAAATCTACGTTCAGTTAAACGAATTTTGTGTATGATATTTCAACGCTTAAGCGAGTTTAGTGTTGTTTTTTTCCGATTGTAATAATTTACGTACTTAATCTCGCCAAAAAAATTCAAATATTGTTGAAAACCCACCGTGAAAAAACAAATGTTGTTCCCTTTAAGTTTGACAACAATAAGTAGATAATAGATAATAGGTTGCTTACTGAAATACGAGTGTCATTGCCAATACAACTTTGGTTCCACTGAACGAATATTTGCTGTGTTACACGTGTGTAAGACGATGACAACGCTTGCGGGTGCGGGGTGCGAGTCCTCTTAAAGACTATAAATCTGCGAAGTAAATACTTATTAAGTTCGAATTTGTCGATTACATAAATTGGACTCTGAGCTATTACATATAAAATACGAGCATACCGTTTCAAATGCATCATGGCAAGTACACATTATTTCCGAAACGAGCGTACTCGAGTAGATAATGCCGTACAAATTGAATCGATTTTTTTGTTATAATTTGAGAAACGCATTGTGTGTGTGTGTGTGTGCGTGTGTGGGTGGGTGGGTGGGTGGGTGTATTAACAAATAACGTATTATTATTTTCGTCTCGACTTAAAGTTATTGCACTCATAGTAGGCGAAAAGGGAATAGAATTATGACTGTATATAGTATAGTATACTGAAACCAACCTACGCGAACGAAAGTAAAAAACAATTAATACGGAGTTGTCTCGATTAAAACGCAAACGAATTAAACTGATCAGTCATTAACGCGTTTGCTAGAAACTATCCAAATGATCAGACATTGGAGAATTGGTACATACAATGGATTATTCTCAAAACTACTTACTGTTATCCGTTAGAAAATTTTAATAAATATAAGATAGGTAAATATTAAATGCTAAACGGTCTTACGAAAAATTCTACTTAATCATTTTCTGTTAGCGTACGCAGGATCGTGGAGAGAAATCATGGGCCCAAGAGATAAATTAATCCAGGCTCTTCTCATGCGAGGTGTTTAAACTTGCCATTGACTTCCAGTGTCGTCTTTTAAAATGTATATACCATAGAGATAACGTAATCGCAATCACGGTTATTCCACAAACTTAATGAAAATAATTACTTATAGCCTATAGGTCTTTTTTAAAAATGTTATTTATATCAATATTGTAGTGTTCACTTTATTGTAGACTCGTTATAACTAAACAACATACACTATAATTATTTGAGTAGGTTATTAGGACGATTCATGTTGGTAATCCATAAATAGCTCGACATCATCATAGTCGAGACATAGTGGACTTGGTCAGGCCCCGGATCCCTAAACTACAGCCCCGGCTGCCCACCCTTCTCGTCCGGCCTGGGTGTACGTTAAAATTACGATAACAATAAGAATTTGCCGTTGTAGTCGGCTCATGAGATTTGAAAAACCAAATTAAATCGTCTATTTTTAAATAATTTACAAGTATTAGCAATAACTTTATGTAAAGGAAATAATATATATTTTTTCAAACCAATTCTTTAAATTAAATATTATCTGCGTCATTGAGTAACAGCACTTCCAAAATTATCAATGGATAAAATTAAAACTCTATTGAAAATAAAAATGTTGACATTTTTTATGAGTTAATTATAAAGACTTATTATAGATTCATACATATTATAATATCCTACTTCATATTTAAGGGGAAAAAATGTTATTGTGATTTTTCTGTAACGAGTTTATAGAAAATAGAGACCGAGTGATATATTATTTCATATTACCAAGACCATAATATATTAGAAATGAAGTTATCGTTTCTATGTTTTCGTTAACGACGATTTTAAGTTAAAACAACAGTCTTCAGTCGCTTCAAAACGCTTCTCAAGTGCTTATGTGTATTTGCTTAAAATTTCCCCGCGGAACGTATAACATTCGCAGTGCTCGAACTCTTCAAAAGTCCACTAAATTTTTACACAATTGAGCATACACTAAATTTTCATAAATTAATTAGTTTATAATATAACCCCATTGTTTTCGACTGGCAGTTTCGATATTTTCATTTCGGACCAAATTCACTAGTTATTTTATGAAAATAAGTTCTTTCGATCAGTTTATTAAGACCAAGGGTTTCACACTTTCTTGAGCCTCGTGATTAGCCACCACACGTGTCCAAACAAAGCCAATCACCGTTGACCGATAATGCACCTATATCATTAACGCCTCTTGTGGCGGCACTTCGCGTGTCTTTCCACGCTTGGTTTCTAATCGAATTTATTATGACACACTAAAAATCGAAATACGCTAGTCGCAGTGACGGTCTAAGATACAAGTCCCTTTGTAGTGTCCAAGCAGTGTAGGTAGGGCGCGTACACAATCGAATTCAAGTCCAAACATTTGTTTTTAATTTCTTATCAAAGAGTGTTGGTACGTGGAACAAGGAAAATTAAAAACGTTCTTTTTTTTTTTTTTTTTTTTTTTTTCATAGATATATAGCCGCTTCACATTATTAATTTATCTTCCGGTATACAGTGGATGTTTACGAATCACGCTTCTCGTGGTCAGATAAAATTTAGCTTTTAAAACGGCGATGGTGGTGGAAATTCGGGCACAACGTATTTCATCTAGATTCACCACTGATACGTTATTGTCATCGGCGTGCACGATGTATACGTTGATTTAAAACAATTTTTTTTATTTAATAATAATAATAACATTTAATACAATTATGTACTGTTGTGGTTTTGAGTGACAAAAAAATTAAATTTAAATGTATTTAATATTTATTTAAATGTATTAAAATCAACTTTTTTATGTAAAAAAAAAACAGCGTCTACGTAAAGAAAACGGTGAACGATTACTGTAATACCGAAATAATGAATTATGAGGAATAATTTTTTGTTAGCGCTGATCTTACGTTATTAAAACACATTAGGTTAATACGTCCATATTGATTCATCGTTCGCCGCAATAGGTATTTTTATATTTTATTAGTACAGTTATATTCCAATACACCACACAGCTCTGATCCCGTTCAACATCGACCAAGCAGTAATACAGTATATACGCGTTATATGCACACTTAATATTTAAATAAAATAGAAACAATAACTAACTCGTCGACAGATTACAGTTATCACTAGTTCAAAACAATTCAAATCTGGACCGCATGGTCACCTTACGTATGCGACGTCCAAATGGTTTAACAGGTAATGTTCGAAACATTAACATTTGTTTTAAATTGTGATGTACACGCGCGTCGTGTTGTGCGTTTTCTTTAAATCGGTGCTACGCAATTAGGCCGATTAATTTCAGACTTTCGTTGAAATTATTTACCCTAGTCGAATGTGTGGTGTTTTTCGGATCCCTGTTCATTGTCGTTGTATATTATTCGTTATTGATTTTCGTATTTGCGGTTTACTTTATTCACGGTACTCGCATGTTTTCTTCGATCAAAACACTTGCGCAGCTGGTTCGAAATTCAACGGTGTAGCTACATTACTACGTGTTTCCCTTTATTTCCACTGTAAAATAGTCCAATCACGTAGAGAAAAAAACCCTCTCATAAGCACACAGAATGTTTGTTTGGTTTTACACATTATATAACATAATATAAATATATATATATACAAACAACACAGAAACACACGCGCATGCATGCATGTACGCACACATACAAAATCACACTAATAAAACTTTCTTTTTTTTCCGTCCATTTGCGTAACAAGAAAAACTAAAGACGTAAAACATCTATGGATTTTAAAACGAAATTTTTTTTGAATTCAAACAGTATTAATGTTGAATTAGTTTTTAAATTATGAAAAATTGTAATTATTAGTTAATAGTTGAAAAAACAATTATATAAGCATAATACGTGTACCTTCAAATAATAATTTCAGACATTAATTACTTATAAATATTTGACGTATACAACAAATAACATAATAGTCTAGAAATAATTAATCTGTTATATATTTATCAACCCTTTTATAATATTTTTAAATATAAGACTACCAATGACATATTATAGTCCAACTACGATGAGTAAACCATTAATAATTACCGAAATCATATATTTACTTTATTATGTATATGATATATATATGCGAATTTTTCACGGTATTCTAATTTTTTACAGGTAATGAGGTAACGTTAAATTTCAATAGAAGACACCTCAAAATAGTTCGGAACACCATAAGGAACTTTGTAAACAATACCTTACACTCTAATCGACAAAGATCAGCATTTTAAGTTAAATTTTATCGCAACATTTATTTCATTTAGTGTTATATAAATTGACCACCTAACGATAAACTATCGTTAATTGTTGTTTCCCTTCTTATGACTGTTTTCATGTATTGTTTATATCTGTCAACAAATTAAATCTGACCTATCTATGTACATTTTGTTATAATCCGTTTTGAAATTGAATATATTGCATATTTATTCATAATTTGTTTTTTTTTTTTTATTTGTATCTATATAAGTATCCACACCATTTGATTACCATTGAACTATAACTGTACCGCTTCATAATAGTATAAATTATTATTTGGATTAGACCAAATGATGAATAGTCGAAAAATAAAACGTTCCAGGTACCAACATGATATTCTTAATAACTTTCCATGTGAATAACAATAACAAAATTTCCAATTTCTATCAGTCAGTGGCGTCATTTCAGTTTTATAAAATTTTAAATTTATGATTATCTACAGCAGTATTATTGTAAATATTTTTCAACGTATACATTTTTACTTATCTCGTACAAACAATGCAAATAAACATTAAAGAATTAACTCTATATATGGTTAACCCAAAACATTTGTATGATAATAAGGTGATAGAAATATTAGAAATATTGAAATTTGTTAAAATGTACATATTTTAAAATTGAAAATAAAAAATTTAAAAAAAATTCAAATTTTAATAAATACAACAAATTAAATAACATGAATAATATTCTATTTTTGAAAGAATAACTTGAAATATTCACTTTTCAGGCAATATTTCTGATTTCTAATTATTAAATAAAATTTAAATATAATGAACTCAACAATAAAAAATACTAAAAGTAAATTAAGTTTAAATCGCAAGTGTTTCTTCTTAACACCTATTGTACCACGAATTTAGTCGAGACAAATATATCCATATCATTTTCGAAAGTATAATATTTGATATACAAAAAAATAAAAATTATTTGTAACATTAAATACAAAATTCTATTTAAATTTAAATGTATACTATACTTGTTATGAAAAAAACCCAAATAAAAAAATATTAAAAAAAAATTAATTTAAAATTAAATCACCTTGATTGTTTTGTTAAATTATCAATCAGAGTTTCTGGACGAACTTCAATTTCACGATGAATTTTTAACAAGGCCAATCAATTAAAAGGGGTTTCTTTCATAGTATTTTGCAGGTATTTTTTAAGATGACAAAGTGTAGAAAAGAGCTATCTGGTGTAAAAGTCGTCATAGACATAGTCACAAGAATTTGAAGAGTTTTTTTTTCTACGAAAATACTTTTTCGTCACATATTAGCTAGGCTGAGTGAGCGTTTTCGTAAATATTGTCCATTTTAATAATATGCTGTCACCAAATTTTAACTTCTCCAATACTTTTTTCCAATCCTCAGTTAATTATACCTTTATATTATCCATATAAATACAGAATGGCTATATTGTGTAGTACGTAGGTATGTACGAAATAATCTAAGAATTTATATTGAAATAAATACTATATGTGGAATTATCAAATTTGAACTGTTTTATATTTCATAAATTTAATATTTCTGTTCTGTACTTCATTTATTTTTATGATAATAAAATGTAACTTAATGATAATAAATTTGGAATTGTTTTTATTACTATCGTCAACCAATAAAGGTATGAAATTTGTATATTATGATATAAGTGGTAATTACAAGGGCTAATATTTTTATGCAAATGAATTTTTTTTTCTGATGTCTCAACACATAGGTCCGTAAGCAAAAATGTGTTTCAATTGATACTGATTAATTTAATGTAGTTTTGATTTTGCCTTTTTTTTGCTTATTTAACAAATTTAATTTAAAATGAATTCTTAGGACATGTTTTGCTGTTTTTAGGATATTTTTTATGTTTTTAGTGGATTTTATCTACAAATTTTTCAAGTGTAACAAAATTAAAATAATCTAAAGAAATTTTTCTAATTATAAGAGTCCAACATTGATCATAACAACCAGTTATGAAATCAATTAAATTAAAACCTATTTATTATGTTATGTTAAATAAATACAATTAAATATGTTTGGTAACATAATTTTTATAATTTATCGTTTATAAACTATAATAAATACATTTTTAACACATTATTATAGTGCATTTTTTTATGATTTTTGCGATTTTTTTAGAGCATTAAAATCCCAACCCTAGTAATTATCTATATATAATAATTAAAGTCTACAATAAAATCACAATACACATTATTTTTCCTACGCATAGTTCCCCAACATCAGTACGCCATTGACCTGAGAAATTATTACATGAATATAAAATATCTTTTAGATCAAAATATACTTTATTAAAAAACGTTAAATGATATTAATATAAATTATTTTAGTAGAGCCTCTGAATTTGATTAACTAATGGAAATATATTTATAAGTTTTATTAGAATACATGACGCTTTGAGTTGTTAAACAATGGAATAGATTAAACAATCGTTTTGTTAAAATAAACATATATATATATATATATATATATATATATACCGGTGACATTTTGAATTAATTATAATTATTTTGCCATTCGCACTTCATTATGTACAAGACAAAAGCAATTTTACCCATTTCGATACTTCGACGTCTTCATTCACAATAACGATATAATCCCATAAAACACTTTCATTGGCCTATTTAATACAGACGTAGCGTTTTGACATTATCCGCTTCCTTTACTGTGCTTTCGTCCGCTGTTTAATTATAAATTGGAAATCTCCGAAACTTCTTTTTTCAACAGCTTTCAATTAGAAATCAAGTCCGGACACGGTTTTTTAATTGTTTAATAACTTTTAACCGTGATAGCGTGTAATGCGTTGCGTTAAAAATAATTTAAAACTAATCGTGTAGTCCCGTACGAAATGTGTTTTGTTCCATTTATGTAATTCAAGTATGAAATATAGTGATTTCGTATGCGAAGTGAAAATTAAAATCCAATGTGACATTCCACTCGTTAGCTTTTAACAACACTCGACCCACAATGTATGTATTATATTGTGAATAACATGAACAATATCGACTGTCACATTATTCATTGGGCTGGAGCCCTCCCTCATTAACAATAATTTGTTTTTAAATTTACCCACGGTTTAAAATCACGATTATATCTGTTTAGATAACCATGTTTACAATTTTAAAAATGTATTTACTTAATTATTACAATTTAAAACAGTAGACCATAGATATCTATGACTATCAGCAAGGCTCGGGACTTATAGCACTTAAAATCATAAATATAAGCACTTAAAAAAAGCGCTTAAAAACATCGTTATAAGCACTAAAATAAGCATTTAAAAAAATTGAAATTAAGCAAAAATATTTATTAAAAAAAAAAAAAAAAAACTATAAAATTCTAACTAAAAAATCAAACACAATCAAAATAAATCTACACTTTCAAGACATTAAGGATTTTATGGATTTTCTAAGCATTTTCTGAAAAATAAAATGTAAACTGTTCTCTCTGTTCTTGATGTTCTATTTTCAACGTTGGAATATCTTTGTTAACCATACTCCGATGCCTTGGACGGCGACGAACTACGTGACAACGTAAATAAGATGAGAATTATTTTTAAATTTTAATTCTATCAAAAACGACTTTACAGGAGAAAATTGTAAAAACATAAAAAAAACTGGTCAAATAAGCAAAAATAATCAGAAAAGCTAGAAATAAGCATTTTTTTGAAAAATCGTTGAGAAAAGCAAAAAAAAGGCACTTTCAAATTTCGTAATTGTACGTGTTATAACTTGACATACACTTCTATAGCACTCTGCTACATTTTAAGTTAATCCATAAAAATAAACAAATGCTTTAACTCCCGAGCCCTGATTATCAGTGTTGTGCAATAGTTAAATTTATTTAGATGCCTCATCTAGATAATAACTTCATATATTTATGTTATCTAGATAAGAACCAATATTGGTATATAATATTCATCTAAACGAAAATTATGGCCATCTAAATAAATGTATATAGATTATCCACCAAGAGCGTAGTCTGCACACAATCTCAGTGTATTCGATTATAATTTATAGCTTGAAACAAGATAATTTAATGAATAGACAAAAATTGAAGTGTTTGAGTTAAAAAAAAGAGCTTGAACTATTATACCAATATCTTGTTATCAAAGAAATATTTTTATAGTGCAATACAACCATTCCTGCATCAGCACCTATAGAGATGTTGTTTAGCTGTACTGTTCAAGTTTTAATATCGAGAGGAAATCGTCTTGGTGATTCAACTTTTGAAAATCTGCTGTGTTGTAGGACTTGAAAGTACTTATTATTTGTTTATTTATTTGTATGTTTAAGATAACATTCATTGTATTTAATGTTTTTTGTTAATAACTAATATTATTATTATTATTATTATTATTATTATTATTTTGAGAAAACTTATATTTAAACTTTGTTAATTATTATGTTTATACTATGTACCAATGTCTTCATTCTTCATTCTTCACTCATTCATAGTCTCACGTCAACAACGATACAATGTCGTTCGTGATAAATAATTTAAATATGTTTTTATGAATAAGAAATAAATAAACATAAGAGTCCGCTACAAATAATTTATTCAACATTATTAAACCACTCATTTTCAAAACTTGATCAATTTTAGAGTTTAATAAATAAAATATGTATTATTATTGAGACCAATCCTTTAAAAAAATTTTGCATTTCCTTCAAGTTTAAAAATATTTATAGTATTTATACTACGAGTTAGTTATATATCAGTTTTATTATTTCATATTTTTTTATGGTGCTAATAAAAGGATATTATCTTTATATTAATTAGAAAACTTATTAAAAATAAAAATAAAAATATTTTTCATTTTTAGTTTCAATTTTCTGTTATTGTATATATAATTTAAGAAATTTATTTATTTTTTTGTGGAACCTATTTTTATCCAGATAGTTTAAATTTAATTTATCTTATCTTTATCTAGATATTTTTTTTTATCTGAGTACAACACTGATGATTATAACTGAACTGATGTTCAGTGAACTGAACAAATCACAGTTCGATTATTTCTTCAACTTCATCAAAGAGAACATGTTCAACATTGGAATGTTTAAATGCGTACTTAAGATTAACCATGACGAAGGTGGACGTTAATGTATTACCTATACCAAACGCCAATAAAAAAGAACTTACCGAATTCGAAATTC